GGGAGGGAGGGAGGGAGGGAGGGAGGGAGGGAGGGAGGGAGGGAGAAGGAAGGAAGGAAGGAAGGAAGGAAGGAAGGAAGGAAGGAAGGAAGGAAGGAAGGAAGGAAGAAAAAGAAAATAACAGGTTTGGAGGTTAGAGAGTATGTTGTTTTGAATATGCTTGGTCCATGGGAAGTGGCATTATTGGGAGGTGTGGCATTATTGGAGGAGGCGTGGCCTTGTTAGAAGGAGTGTGTCACTGTGTAGGTGGGCTTTGAGGGCTCCTAGTACTCAAACTCCACTCAGTATGGGAGACACCCTCCTCCTAGCTGCCTGCAGAAGAGAGTCTCCTTCTGGCTGCCTTTGGATCAAGACATAGAACTCTCAGCTTCTCCACTACCTCAGCTTCTGCCTGCCTGCTGCCATAATAATGGACTGAACCTCCAAAACTATAATATAAGCCAGCCCCAATTAAATATTTGCCTTTATAAGAGTTGCCTTGGTCATGGTGTCTCCTCACAGCAGTGGAAACCCTAAGAGAGGGGATTAGGATGAAGATGGATACTCAGGACAGGTCTAACAGGGAGCTGGATTACGGAAATCTTCGGGTTATTTATCCTGTGGATTAGGAGCTCTCAACTTTTTCCTCCATTATTCACACTGAGGATAAGACACCTTCGTAACAGGTATACTGTGAACTATTGTAAAGGTAAAATAAATTGAAGTCAAATAAATCCTGAATATCTCCTGCTCTTTTAAGCTACACTCTCCCAGGACAGTGATTTCACTCCTTTCTCCCACTTAAAAAAAGTTTATGTGAATATAAATGAGGCTGATTTTAGAAGCAACTTTTAAAAAATTCAAACCAATGCCTGCAGAGCCTCACTCTCTGAGTCTGAACCCCAGGTCTGAGTATAATGCAACCAGTCAAGGAATGGTGTCGCAAGACTGGCTGTTCCAGGGCTAGATGCTCTAAGCTGGTTTTTTCCAGATCTAGTTGCTCTGTGTTAGAAGATTTCAAGGGAGGAGGATGCCTGAATAGAGGCTTATGTTTTCTGCAGCTAAGAAGCCCTGTGTGTCGCGCTGCTGTTACTCTTTGGCCAACTGCTATTCTATCTTCACTGTTTGTAGCTACAGTTCAAAAATAATACAAAGTTCCTGTACTGCTAGAGGCATAGGTGTGTCTGTCTCTGACACCTTTCACAGACCATACCTCCGAGTCTGAGAGAACACAGTGCTGATCTGCTTCTTACCTGGACTTCACTATCTTCCTGATTTATTATCCTCTTGTCTTTTTCTTTTTTGGATGTTTATTTTTATTTTTTGTGCATTGGTGTTTTGTCTGCATGTATATCTGTCTGTGTGAGTATGTCAGATCCCCCTGGAACTAGAGTTACAGACAGTTATGAGTTGCCAAGAGAAATGAACCTGGGACTCAGCAGAGGTGGATAGAAGAGGGAACTGGGTGGAAAAGAGGGTGAAGGGAAATAGGGATGGCAATCAGGTGTGGGGAGATGGTAGGGAAAGGGCTGGAGTAAGCAGGAAACCAGTGGGGAGCATCTCTGGTGACAAGCTGGAGACCTAGGTTGGGAGGAAGCTACGAGAAGTATATGGGGGTGACCCTAGCTCAGATTCCTACCAGCGGGAGATATGGAGACTGAAATGACTACCTTCTGTCACTAGACAGGACTTCCAGTGGAGGGAGGGGGACCCACCCACAAAACCTTCAACCCAAAATTTGTCCTGCCTACAAGATACACAGGGATAAAGATGGAGCAGAGTCTGAGGGAACAGCCAACCAATAACAGTCCCAACTTGAGACCCATTCAATGTTGAGAGCCAACCCAACACTATGCTTGCAGATAGGAGCCTAGCATAACTGTCTCCTGAGAGACTTTATCCAGCAGTGGATAGAAATAAATGCAGAGACCCAAAGTCAAACATCAGGCAGAGCTCAGGGAGTCTTGTGGAAGAGTGGGGAATAGAAGCTGGAGGAGGTCCAGGACACCACAAGAAGACCTACAGAGTCAACTAACTTGGGCCCAGGGGGGCTCACAGAGACTGAAT